TGCCTCTTCCCAGGTCCGCAGCTCTCTCCTCCCCTGATGTCACCCAACACCGCTGTGACTGTACACTGGGTGCAATAGCCAGCCTGCTATTGGCTCTTTCAATTTGCAATAGCAGGCTGGCTGCTGCACCCGCCCACTGCCTGCTGCGAGGCAGCAGATAAGCGGGCCTGAAGGAGAAATTTCGTTTTACTACCTTGGCACGCCCGACTTGTGCTTACGTTAATATGTGGGCGCTAGTGGGGGGCGGGGGACTTAAAAGGAGATATATGAGGCAAGTGATTTCCACTCATCCTCATAGTTCGAGGCGACGAAACTTCCCGAGACACTATTGATCGAGAAGTGAGCAAACACATACCGTCGCTCGCTCACTTCCCAGATCATCTCCCTGCAGAGAGCAGTGACAGTCAGTCACCGCTCCCTGCAGGGATTCCCCCCTCCCCACTCCGATCCTCCAGCGCTGACTGGAGAAACAGACCTATATAGCCAGCTGGGTGGATATCAACAGCATTGTCGGGATCCATCCCGGCTGCGGCGATCTCGCTATATAGTGAGCTTTGGGTCGAAGCAGGACGTTAGAATATGTCCTCCCATGACCCTTAAAGGAGTCCCCCCCCCCCCCTCTCCTATCATCCAGTGCTGACTGGCGGAACAGAGAGGGCGGGCACAGCTGGGTCCGCCTCTAGATAGGAGGAGCCCGCTGTCAATCAGTCATTACCCAAAATTGGCCATAGGCGACGCATTAAAAGCTTTTACCGCTCATCAGTTTAGTGTTATCAGTGATTGATGGCCCTAAAATGATTGCGCTCACTGCGACATGTAAAATGTGTAGTGCAATTGTCATTTTCGTGCGCTGGTGCATGCGACGCATATTTACGTTTATATGTGCGTAAACGAAGGGGGGGGGGGTACTTTTTTTATTTGTGACTTTTATTTTTTTATTTATATAGATTTTTTTTTTTTTACACTTATTGTTATTGCTATTACATAGGGGCATACCATCCCCCTATGTAATAGCACAGGTACACTGACAGGTCCTCTTTATGGAGACATTAGGGGTCTCTAGACCCCTAATGTCACCTGGAGACCCCAAAAGAAGCTGATGAAGCACAGATTTGCTTCATCGGCTTCTTCTCTCTGGCAGTAGGAGCCAGATGACTGACAGGTGAATGCGGAAGTGATGTAATACACATCACTTCTGCATTCACACTACAGAGGGAGAACAGCAAGGAGCTGACTCCCTCCCTCCTCCTGACGCCCTCCCGAGCCGGTCCCGGGCCGCAGTTGGGCTAGCGGATCCCGGGATTAAAGGTGAGGGGTCAGGGGGGGGGAGATGGCGGCACCCGTAATTCACGCCATACAACCGATCGGCGGCTATAGAGTAGCTGATCGGTTGTATGTGAAACAGCCGTTAACGGCTGTAGTAACGAGCGGGGCTTTCCTGCCCGTGCGCTAGGGGGCACGCGCGAGTAGGAAAAAAAAAATGCTGTCTGGCGACGGCAACCCGCTGATGCGAGTCTCCCGTCCGTCCGTTTTTTTCTTAACGGACGGACGGCAAGAGGTTAATTGCCATCACACAAGGAAGCTCACAAGCCATGCGATAGCATACTAGTGCTGACAGGTTCTCTTTAAGGTGACATTAGGGGTCAATTAGACCCGTAGTGTCCCCTTTCCACTCCAAAGAAGCTATTGAAGCGCAGATTGCTTCTTGCCCGGCTTCTGCAGATGAGCAATGACAGCTACGGGACCGGAAGTGATGCATTCAGCGTCGCTTCCGGTCCCATTCAGCGGGGAGGAGATCAGCAAACGGTCTCTTTCCCCAATGACACCCGCGATGCCGCTCCCGGAGGCAGTGGAGAAGCTCAGCCGCCAGAATCCTTTCCAGTGTAAAGCCGACAGTCATGGCCACTGGGAGTCTGTTTATAGGGGCCAGCAAGGTATGCCATGCGTGGGTGGCAGCGAAAGGGTCAAAGGAAAACTATGGGGTCAGTACTGTGCACGTATGTGGAGATATTCACGGAGGCCTTGGCATCCTCCACACCGACCTTCATACTGCGGGAGAGAAGAGACCCCGATGTTAGTACTCCCATCATTGTCATACAGCGGTGACACGCGCGTGTCTGATGTCATTTTTATTTGATATTTAATGCAAATTATGGAGAAAGTAATTCATTTCACAAAACTTTTCCATGCCATCAATCATCTGACTCGCCTAGAAATGAAAAAGGAAATAGGAGTTAAATCTCGCCGCATGCGCTAGAAAACAATACCGACCCGATCTCCTCCATTTATAAAGAAAACATTTCCGTGTTCGATACATAGACAGTGATGTTATCATTGGACCTCTGCGCTTCTCTGTGCACTGCGGGCTGGTGGGGGAAATTCACTCCCCAGAGCCCTCTGTCCTGATGCGAGCAGTGGGCGGGCTCTTGGGAGGAGATATGCAAATATCAAAATGCCTTAAAAGGAGAACTATGAGGTGATTTTAACTCACCTCATAGTTTGAGCCGACCTGTGACAATGAGACTGTCACAGGTCGGCTCAGTAGATCGGGAGGTGAGGGAGCACATACCGGCGCTCGCTCACTTCTCGATCCTGTCCCTGCAGAGAGAGGTGACCGTCACTCACGGCTCTCTGCAGGGATTCCCCCCCTCCCCGATCCTCCAGCGTTGACTGGCAGAACGAACGGGGGAGGGGGCGGGTACAGCTGGCTCTGCCTCTAGATAGCCGTCACTCATGCAGCTGAGTGGATCTCAACAGTAATGTCGGGATCCGATCCGATGTCACTGCTGTGCATGCTTAGTGGGGAGGCTTTACTTCCTGTCCCTAAACTTCACCTTTTAACCCCTTCCCGCCCACTGTACAGATGTGTGGCAGCCCAATGCCTTTAATGCTGCGCTGCAACATATACAAGTGCAGCCCGACCTTGTTCTGTGCCGAGTGGGGGCTGAATTGCGTGCCCTAGCACTGTCACTGTTTACCATTGGACGGGCTCACCGTCATGAGACCACTGTGGCAGCCAATCACAGCGATCAGATGACCGAAACAGCCAAGAAACACCTCCAGCATTCAGACCCTGCCCCTTAAAGGGCCGGCTCCCACTGGAGGAACTACTGCGATAGTTTAGGGAAAGTTAGACCTTTCCTTCAATGCAGACACGATCACAGTACAGCAGAAGGACCAGACAGCTAATGAGTCCCTCCACTCTAACCTCGCTCATCATCTTTTCACAAAGGGATTGGAGCTCCGAAACCAGAGCCGTCCCTAGAACGAGGAAGGAACCCTTTGGGTCATGGAGGGGGGGGGCCCTTTTCCAGCCAGAGTGTCCCAGGTTGCTAAGAACTCTGGTTGGCGTCCCGCCTAGCTCCTGGCAACCAATGACATCAGTGAGCTGGGTGGGACGCTGGCTATCCCCCCCCATCACCCCCACCCGTAAAGTGCACCACTAATGAGCAACTCCCATCACACCCCCTCATCATTAGCACCGTTCATCCCCCCGCAACACGCACCAGCAACACCTCCTCCCCCCACCCCAGTGGGGATAAGTATAGGGACATCCCTAACTGAGACCCTCTGTGGGCCAATATTTCCTCAAATTATAAGGAAGGGGCGTAGAGGAGGACGGAGGAGTGAAAACAGAGTCCAGACCCCATTCAGGGGGGTAACCCGAGGAACACGCAGTGCCGCACACTCACCAGATCTCCGTTCTCGGGTAGCAGGTCTGCTTTAGCTGAATGTGAACGGGAACTCTGGATTTGGCCAACTCGGCGGCGTACTGGGCGGCCAGGTTCTGGTCTCCGCTCTCTACACATCGGCTCAGCCGCTGCACCAACTCCTCTGGAAGAGAGAATAAAGAACTGACACAACGATCCACATCACCGGGGGCCGCGCCACTCACACAAACCTAAAAGGACAAACTCCGCCTTTCCCAAATATAGAAGTAGGGATGCACCAATAGCGGTTTTTCGGTATCGAGCACTGATATTTTTTCTTTCGTACTCGCCGATACCAAAAGTCCCCTTAAGAAAGCCGGGCGGCGTGTAATGACTCGCTAGCCGGCTTCCCGATTAGTTGTCCCCAGGTGACGAGGTAGCATGGAATGGCTTGCTGGCCAATAAGGAAGCGGGGGGCTGGGTAAAGATTTGCCAGCTTTCTGAACAATCACGACGATAGGCAGCGGGTTGTTACACGGGGCCCGGCTTTCTGAATGGCCGGAAAGTCAGCTCCTTGCTCCCTTTGGCTTTGCAACCATTCAGGAAGCCAGAGGGCGAGTCATTGCTCACCCCCCCGGCTTCCCGATTGGCATGGAGCCGGCTTCTCGGCCAATCAGGAAGCCAGGCCCCGTGTAATGACTCACCCCCTGGCTTCCTGATTGGTCAGGAAGCAGGCCAATCAGGAAGCCGGGCAGTGTCTAATGACTTGCCGCACCGGCTTCCTGACAACGGACGTTACGGTATTCGGACAGGCATCGTACTCGGCCAAATACTTGGCGTCGGTGCATCCCGATATAGTATATATAACCGCTACGCGGGATGTTTTATCATTTTCTCTTATTAAAAGTCACCTTTTCATTTCATTCCGCAGACGCTGCGTTTTTCTACAACCGTTCATTGCAATATGGTGACCTGGAGACATCGGGGTAC